GATAGAGATTTTATATTTGTTCGAAAGCAGTAGAAGGATGAAGGGTTAATAATTTGTAAATCAATGTCACCATTTACCCATTTCTCCTAAATGCAAGCCACTTCAGTTCTGCTGAGTTCTTTTTGACAAAAGAAGCCCCATATCATGGGTTCTGTTAAAAATAAAACGGCAATTTGTCGAAAAGAAGGCAGGAATTGACAATTTGTAATTTGGCTGATGTTTGAATGCGCGTTGCCTGCTGCACCGGCGTTTTTTCCGATGCATAGGCCGTTGTTGACGAAAATTTGATAAATTAAACACAGAACGATCGCAAATACGGCATATTGGCCGAAATGTGCAACAGTTTGCATCATGGTCATTCGTAAGTGAAATTGACGATTAAATTCCTATCATAAGGGTGCTAGGGTGCTGTAGAGCCGACCTGATAATCTTAGTTCAGACAAACAAAGAATGCAAAACAGTTTAATATATCGAAGGGAAATGGGCACAGTAATGTACAATTACTAAAAATCCACACGTAAATGGAGATCTACAAAATGGCGGCTCAAATTCAAAAGCCCGCACAGGTGTGCTTTCTGGTCAGTTTCCAGACATTGCGCAAGTTCGAGGTCTTCGGTTGACTGCAGCTGCCGAGCACGTTCTTCGGCTGCACCCAGACACAGGTTGGTAGATCGGTTGTCCGTTCATAGCCAATGAGGATTTTCCATGCAAATAACCTCGTCACTATCCTCCTCCGAGCAAGCAAATAATCTTTGGCCCTGCTGACTTCGAAATCTCAGCAGATTTCACACATATTCTACCACCACGCCCTGCAACACTACCTTGCGTGGTTTTTTTCTTTGAGTCTCGCAAAATGTATGGAACCTAAAATGACAGTCGCCAGTCAAAATATTCAATATACTTGATTGCACACTTTGGACTGTAGGGCAAGATTTATTGTCCCTGGAAAGTCACAAATGGTGAGTCGCATTATCTCTGGGCGTTGACCCCCGCAAAAAATTGAAAAACGGCTGTTGTGGAACTTCTCACTGACAGGCATTTGGAAGGCCTGCTATTTTTTCAATAATATTTTCTTTGACTGAGTTTTAAATGTAGACTGTGAATTCGCAAGTTTGAAATAAAATTTATTGTTTGCTCTGCGCATTCGGAGCTAGATGAAAAGTACATGTCTAGAAATCAGCAAAATTGCAGAATTTCAGGCTGAAAATGTCAAGCATCGCATTAGCTGATATAGGGGCACCCATAAAAACTGGAATTTAAACAGAGCAGCGATTATGTCTTCGTACATGAGTTTAACGGATATGTTGAGGTAGTCGTCGTCCCAGCGAAAGATAAAGTGAATTTCCTTTATCTTCGAGCTATGTATTACTTGTTCTAAGTATCTGTGGATAGCGAAAGCGCTTCGAAAAGAGCAGAAGATTCACAGACTGTGTCGAATCAAATAACTGTTGGAAAGCTGTTGGAGGCAAAGGATTTTATTTTTTTCTCAAAGACTAACTCTTGTGAGCGCAAATGTACATTATCTGGTCTATCTCATGAAATCTTAACCGAAAATCGGAAATGCGGATTGATTTAGGAGCGATTGCTTAAGTTGTGTTGCAATAATAGCGATCATTCAGCAGAGTCCAAGCATTACTGATTGCTCTCCTATTTGACCGCCTGAAAAGTAAACATTTTTCCCATAAGCCTTTAAAGCCATATAAATTCAAAAATATTTAGTAGAAATTGCAGAAAATTACCCTTTTTTAAATGTTTGGCGAGAACCACGTCTTCTTCAAACTTTCTATTTGAGAAAAGAGTATTTTTTGGTTTAAAATGTTATAATTATGAGACTTTTCAGGAGCACGAAATGTCCACTGCTTATTAATTTTTTGCCATTTAATATTGATATCGGGGTAAGTACCTATACTTAACTCAGTCTAGCACCATACCTGCCTTTGGAATTCTTGAATTTAAGAGAACGATAATGCCAATGAAAAGGGAAATATTGTTCGCACTACCAGCAAATTACGTCGATCGTTATGTTTTATCAGAGTCTGGATAGGTTAAACGGTAGCTGTCGCCTTTGAGTTAAATGTGATGATATGATATCTGTTTCCGCTTCGTTTAAATATGATTTTGTCAAACTGTTTGTTAAATGAAGATGGTGAATTGCTGTCTACTGTGTGCTTGTGCCTTCGCCAACTAAGACTTCCTTTATTTACAAATCTCCATTCAAAGACGACAATAAATTTCCGGAGCAGTGTTGTGTTTATAAAATTTCAGGACGCCGACACTGTCAGAAATGTTGACCTTATCCATGGAAATCCCAGTGCGCCAATACCTTTGCGTTGGAAGCGATTCGATGAAACACCCGGTATTGATTATTTTTGTGAAGACTCTGCTGAACAATAGCTGTCGACGCATGTGCTTTAAAATGTGGCAAAAGATCTTTCTGTGCTTTTGTGCGATATTTGGAGGCAAAATTACGCATTCTGGAATCAGAGTTTGCGAAAGGTGGATTTGGAAATATTGCAATAACTCCCCTTAATAAGTTTGCCGTTGTCAATGATAGTTCTGAAATTCGTCAAAGTAATGATATGTGCCATGCATGTCGTGGTCTGATTTTCTGAAATTAAATATCACGTTGTGTTTCTGTGAATGTGGTAATTGCAGCCTATCCCAATAAACAAGGTGTCTTTTTGATTTTATCCGTTCTGCACTAATCGCGATTAAGCACAGATAAGCCATCAAGAGTGTTGTGTACTGTCATGTACAGTGAGTGACTGATCTCATAAAATGTTGGCTAAAATTCTGATATGTGTTTTCGGTTAAGAAGGCGTTTTAAGAGCGATTGTAATGCTAATCACCTTGCGGCATTATCCTATAATATTTAGGACTCGGCAGGATATCAGCTTTTGAATACACTGCTTTTCATTCTCCTGCAGAAACCGCACTCGGTAAAAAAATGACCACTTTGACAACATGCATGTTTCACATTGATTTCCGATGTCTTGCAAATTTAAATATATTTTTCAGAAACTACGAACAAAAATATGCTTTTTTTCCGGTATTTTGATAGCAAATCATGTCATCATTATTTTGTAAACTAGAATGAGGAGTATTATTTTGTTTTTAAATGTTTTCTTATTCCCGAATAATTTGGAGATTGTTCGGTCGTTGCACCAGCGCTTAGTCGTTTCAGTCTACAAGGTGCATGCGTTCTCCGTAAAGAAAAACACATATTTTTCTATACATTTAAAAAGGTATAATATGGAGTATATAAAATTTTGCAATGGATGCGGACAACGTTGTACATTTCATGAGGAGCAGTGGTAAACGTTAAGATGCTGTATGAATGAACATTGCATGGTTTCAGGAAATCTCATAATTAGAAACTTTTTAAAACCTAATTATACTCCTTCTTCAAGTACAGGTTCTGCAGGAGATTAAAAAGCATCGCATTCAAAAGCTGACATCCCGCCGAGTCCGAAATATTGTAGGTTTTGCCGCAAGACAATCACTATTACAACCGCTCTTAAAAATGCCTTCCTAACCGAAAACACTTTAAAGCATTTCAGTCAACATTTCATGAGATCGGTCACTCTGTGTCAGAAAACTCATAAAACCGAATCCATGCACCTCAAAATACCACAAAATCTGCTGGGACTGAATTTTCGCTGCATCCTGTTTAACAAGAAGCTTCCTACATGCTTTTAAAACTATATATGTAACTTCCTAAATCAGAACTTGGGACTGAGTTTAGGTTGTGGTTTGGTTAACTTATTCGTTGTCAGGTGTGGGCAACCACACCGATAACCCTGATCTCAGTTATACGCGATGTTCGATGAAAACGCGACTGCGTTACGCCCTCTGCCCTGTAAGCGTCTGCTATGCACCGATCAGCAAACCATGGACCTCGCAGCCTGGTATGCGTTGGCAGTTTTCTGACACCTGGTCCCCTCCCGGTAGATGCGCTGGGTAGTGGGCGTGACTGTCCAGTCACCCGCGTCTGTCGTTGTTGTTGTTGATGGTGATTATTTTATTGGTTAAAATCCTTGTCAGTTGTTGTGCAGACCAGGGGTGTAGTGGTACGCCTACAGTGCGTGACCTATCTCATGAAATGTTGCCTGAAATTCTGATTAGGAAGGATTACTTGGTCGCGGTTGTGATACTGATTATCCTAAGGCATACACTTGTAACATTTTAGACTTGGCAGGATGTCGGCTTTTAAATGCACTTCTTTTCAGTCTCCTGTAGAAAGCGTGCTCGGTGAAACATGACTACTTATGTAACATGCATGTTTCCCATTGATTTTCTAAGGTCTTGCAAATTTAAAAATATCTTATGGAAACCATGAACAAAAATGTGCTTTCTTTTATTCAATCAATAAAAAATCATGTCTTCTTTATATTTTATACTCAAGAAAGGAGTATAATTAGGTTTTAAAAAATTTCTAATTATGAGACTTTTTAAGACCGCGATATGCCCATTCACATAACATCGTACCTGGCCGTTTACCAATGCTTCTCATGAAATATACAACATGGTCCGCATCCATTGCAAAATTTTATAGACCCTGTATAATATCTCTTTGGTGACATAGAAAAATATGGGATTTTCTTTACGCGGAACGCATGCACCTTGTAGAGTGTAATCACTAAGCGCTAATGCAACGAATGATCAGACTCCAAATTTTTCGGCAATTAGAAAATTTTTTTAAAACCTGGTTATACTCCTTCCTTAAGTATACAATATAAAGAAGAAATAATTCTCTTTTGTTTGAATAAAAGAAAGCACATTTTTGTTTGTGGTTTCTATAAAATATATTTGGATTTCCAAGACCATCGAAAATCAATGGGAAAATTGCATGCTACTTAATTAGTCATTTTTTACCGAACACGCTTCCTACAGGAGATTGAAAAGAAGTGTTTTTAAAGCTGACATCCTGCCGGGTCTAAAATATTACAAGAGTGTGCCTTAAGATAATCAGTATCACAACCGCGACCAAGTAATCCTTCCTAATCGAAAACGCCTTTCAGAATTTCAGCCAACATTTCGTGAGATAGGTCACGCACTGTAGGTGTGGCCTCAGGCCTACCCTCCACATGCGCCTCCGTCTCCCACCTCCGATCTTCTTGACAAATGAAGAAAAAGGAAAGAAGTGGGAAGTAGGAGGAGACTGTGAGGTATACGCTGCGCAAGTATACCACCACTATAAGGCAACTTACGCACAAGTTACCCAGCCTTCTGTCACCCTGCTACAGAGCACACAGTGGACATGATCGGCAAGCACGATCGAACTGTCGGGACGAATGTTTGCACAGCCCTCACAGTCTTGTCAAAATATGGAATTCTCAATGCAATGATTCTTCTATGACGTTCAAAATTCGATTCTTATTTTAATGTTTTTTCCGGACGCTTATAGGCTGCTCTCGCGAGTAGATTTTTAGTTGGTTTGCAGCGTCCTACGACCACAACAACTCCTTTCGCCCTTAGTCTGTACATGAAAAACGTTGCGTAATACACTCATAATTTACTACTCAGTCTCGACGCAGTAGTTTATGCGATAGGGTGACCCAAGCCACTACCACCATCAAGTCCCCTCCCACATAGAAAGAGGAGATTTCGGACGTCAGTTGAGAGGATACTGTATTCTGTACAGTAAGATTGGAGGACAGGGTGGAATAAGTTAGCAGCTGTATTGCAAAACGCATTCGGCGCTTACCGGTCTCCATTAAGAGTGGTATGATATTGCCATCTCTTGTTTTCACTGAAGTATTTGCGTCATGACATATGCTCTGCAAAGTTACAAACATGAAATAATGCCAGAGTTCTTATTCTTTTTAATTAGAAGCTAACATATGAGGACATTGGAATAGAGTAAATGCCTAGATGCATGGAGCATAACTGTTTTTCATAATTGTGAATCCAACACCCGAAACTTCTTCTTCGTGCACTTGAATGCGCGCGTGTAGTCGATGAATTTTAACACTGGGGTTATGGCCTTCGTTTTATTTGAAGGATTTATGGTAACACGAGTAATCCTGCCATTCGAAAACTTTATCTCCATTTGTCGCGTTTCGGTTCCCAAATGTCCCGTAAATAGCACAAGTTCGCTCCAGTCCACTTCTGCGGAAAACAGGTTTCATGTGGAAACTGTGGTTCAGAGTATTTTGCAAGGATTAATTCCATTGACAGGACCTTTGTGAAATCTTTCGGAACACCGAATTATTCACTTACCAGTACCCCCTAAGAGTGATATAATATTGTCATCTCTTTTTTCCACTAAAACGTTCTCGACATGGGATATGGTCTGAAAGGTTGCGAACATGAAATGGTGCCTATATTTCTGTTCTTTTGAATTTGAAGTTTGATGATGAGGAAGTGGAAGCAGACTAAATGCCGAAATCACTTGGAGAAAATGCAAAAAGCATTTCAGGTGAACCAAACACATGGCATCTACTTGACCACACATTTCCATTCAAATAATTGTGAACGTAACACCTGGGGGTCCTTTTACTTGCACTTAAATGCGTGCATAAATTCGAGGAATGTCAACACTGGGGCCAGGGCCTCCGTTTTATTGGATGGATTTATGGTAACACGAGTAATCCTGCCAGTCGTAAACTTTATCTCCATTTGTCCCGTTTCGGTTGCCAAATGTCCGTAAATAGTACAACTTAATTCCAGTCCAATCCTGAAAGTCCATATGCGGATGTGTAGAAACGGTTCCATGTGGCTAACTCTGGTTTGCAAATTTCAACTTCATAGGTTTGACCATTACGGAATCTTTGGCAACACCAAAGTATACACTTACCGGCACACCCTAAGAGGGATAGAATATTGCCATCTTTTCTTCGCCGAAAAGTTCCCGACACAGGATATGGTCTGAAAGATTGCAAACATGAAATTCTGTCGGAGTTGTTATACCATTTGATTTGAAACGTACTGATGAAAGCAGTGAAATACAAAAAATGCTGAAGTCACTTCGACAAAAAACAAAATCACTTTGACTACACCAAACAAACTGCACCTACTTGACATGATGATCAATCAGCGACTCAAAATGATAGTCGTGATGATAATATTAAACTAAAATGTTACAATAACTAAAGATCTGCAAACTTTTCAAATGGTTGTTAGAGGACTTTCATGTATATTTGGTCTCTAGAGACAAAACAATTTTTTCCAACAGCATTACCTGCAATACCTTTCGCTAGTCTTGCAAATTTGTCCCGCTTGCTTGAGGATCATACGAATTTAAGATGAAATATGACCATATGTTTACACGAAAATGCTGGCTACGGGAAACTCCCTTTGCGTTAACTATCAAGGGAGAATGGAACTAGGATTAAGGCTGGGGTATGAATACCTAAAAAGGTAATCATCGCGAGTGAGTAAGTACAAGAAAATTAGACACACGTCCACACGGCACGATGTATTTTAATTTGCTGGAATTGGAGCTCATTTCCTTGTGCAGTAATTGTCCTGCGAACTAATGGGCAGTGGGTTCAGCTGGCTCTTTGCATAACATATGGTCATATGTTAAAGTAACAATTTAGAAAATGCGAAAATACCCTTGCGTTGAATATCTAGGGAGAATAGAACTAGGATTAAGGCAGGGGTATAAACACCTGAATAGGTAATCCTCGCGCCGAAATAGTGCGGGGCTAGTTCGGCTGACGTGGGTGCTGCCGTGCAAATGTAATCAGTTAGCATTTGCAGTTTCCCTTAGTAACCTAAAGCGAAAAAATTGCCAGGTATCCGCAAAATTTCTGAAATGTCTGCTACAGGACTTTTACGTATATCTGGCCCCTCAAGCCGAAGGAATTTTTCAACACTCTCGTAAAATTACCTGCAATTTTTTTGCTAGTCTGGAAAATGTTGTCCGACCTCTAAAATGACACCAGCCAGTCAAGCACCAGGTATATTTGACTGCACCGCCTAAACTGCAGTCAGAAAAGACATTTTGTCCCTTGATATATATAAATTCCCCGTGAGCTTGGGCGCGACTATTCTGCAAAAATCAAAAAGCGACTGCCTGACAAGTTGGCGGCACTAGATTTACCGTGGTCCCCTGGCTTGGAATGTTTGAGGAAACTCATTAGGGTGCTGGTTTCGATTCCACTAGGTCCCTGTACGCCTAGGGAATTTACTTTTTAAATCAGAAATAAAGGGGATTTGCTAACGAGGCTAACATCGATGAGTATGCCGGCTTACCAAGTACATTTTATTGAGCCGCATGACAAGAGGCATACGCATATGTAGCCTATAGTTCAACTTTTACGTGCACCTTGATTGGGTATTCATTGGATGATAATCTCCTTATCCTTTGCTTTGCATATAGCTAACACCCCGAGCCTAAATGACGTTTCCACTACCCCCTTGACATTGTCGAAGTTGTTGTATTGGTAGTGTCCCTTAAAATTTTTGTCGTGCCTAAAATGACATCAGACAATCAGGCCCTGGCTACAATGGAACGCGCCGTCTAACCTGCACGAAAAATCCTCTTGCCTACAGATATTTATAAATCACACGCAACAATGAACGAATGCATAACTACTCTCCAAAATCAAAAATTATCGGCCGTCTTCGAAGATGTCGGTTTGGCTTATGTCACAGCCATTCAATGTGGAAACGTAAGTGTAATTCAATCTTGTCAGATCTTACTCCTCTAGGTCTGCCAAAACAAGCCGTGTCATAATTAGTGCTTCGTGCGACTTTATGAAGTTCATCATTCAAAATTTGCTGGTTTTCTTTTATGTACGATGACAAAAATTAAGGTGTAATAATTCATCCAGGCTCCTTGCACTTGCCTTGCTGTATGATTTGCTACCTCCGACTTTGGGTCCAACCTTCTCATGACCCACTAAGGTTCGTAAATTCGCGCTTGCTGCCGTCGGTCGGTTTACCCAACGAAGGTTCAACATCCGCAGCTGCATTTAGGTCGGTAGAAAACGGCCGACATCTCTTGCGTTGAGATGGTATCTCTCGGTCGCCAATGCGTACGCTTAAACTGGAACAATTTTCTTGTGCGGTAATCGTCGCGTTGAGGTAGAGGAGAGGTAGTTTAGCTGGTGCGGTGTTATCACAGGTCAGAATTTCTGAATCCTCTCACATGACATGGGCTCTGCAAAGTTACGAACATGAAATGGTGCCGAAGTTCTTATTCTTTTTTAGTAGCTGCTTACATATGAGGACATGTAAATAGATTAAATGCCGAAATGCATGCAGCATAACTGTTTTTCATGAAGACCTGCATCGTATTTCATAAAGTTTTTACAAGGACCTATCATTTCTTCTGGGTATGCCAATTACTTGGTCAATTTTGTGTTTTCTTAACAAATGTATACACGATATTTGCGCATGTGTTCAATAGACGTGCTGCGAAAATTGTATCTCAACTCAATTTATTGACCCACGAGCCTCACACGACCTCATTCTCCCTCAGCTATAGACAAGATAGACTTGCTTTTATTGTGAATTTCTTAATTCTGAGTGGTATTTGCATTGATGTAGACGGGAGAAATCTATTTAAAATGGCAGAAAAGGCAAATCTCAGATGATCGCCAACTTGAACATGGAATGCGACAATGAAGAGTACACGGGGATTCTCATTGAAATCGATCTTGACCTACATGATCTCCACAAGATAAATTAAAGTACTTTGAGACAAGTTGTCGTCAAATACTTGATTGATAAGCAGAAATAACGAGTTGATCTCCGCCATTGGCCCGCAAGCAGCCGTTAATCTGCGGTCCCCTAAGTATTCAGGTATGTTGGGATTTATAACCAGAGTTTGCGTGTTTTTGACTGTTTTAAAATTTTTTCAGCTTAAAACGCCTTTTACGTCTCACATGTGTGAAATATTCAAACTGAAAGAAAACATTATGCATGGGTCTTTATTTAAATTAAAGCAGCCCTCAACCACACACTGTCATTCAAATAATTGTGAATCCAACACCCGGAACTACTTCTTCGTGCACTTGAATGCGCGCGTGTAGTCGATGAATGTTAACACTGGGGCTATGGCCTCCGATTTATTGGAAGGATTTATGGTAACACGAGTAATCCTGCCATTCGTAAACTTTATTTCCATTTGTCGCGGTTCGGTTTCCAAATGTCCCGTAAATAGTACAAGTTCCTTTCTCTCGGAGCCTAAAAACAGACATGCACTAGTGTAAAAAGGGTTTAATTCGGAAAACTCTTGTTCAAAATGTTTTGCAAGAATCAATTCCATTGACACGACTTTTATAAAATCTTTGACAGCACCAAATTCTGCACTTACTGGACCACCCGAAGACTGATATGATACTGTGATCTTTTTTTTCTTTCACCGAAATGTTGCCCGTACGAGATATGCTCTAAAAGGATGCGAACATGAAATGATGTCGGTGTCGGTTTTCATTTGATTATGAGCTATCTGATAAGGCCGAAATCACTTCAAAAAAATGTAAAGTCACTTTGGCTGAACCTAACACATGGCATCTACTTGACATGGAGATAATAAAGATAAAATTAATCTATTTAATAATGGTGCATTTTATTCAGTTCCAAATATCATATAAAATTAAATAGGTTTCTCGGGTTAATTTAAATGAATATTGGCATGCTTTTCACTACACGCTATCGGTCCTCATGTAAGACTCCTAGAAGCAGTATTCTGACCGGGTTGTTAGGACGATTAAATTGAATTCCAATGATTACCACAACTCTCCCACTGAACAGCACAATATGAATGAGTCTTTCATTTTTCAGGATTTCTTTCGCGAAGGCAGATACTGCTCCAGAACGCAGCTGTGGATCTAGAGGACGAAACATTAAATGCAGTATTTTGAAAAAGCAATTCCTAAAGCTGCTAACATTAGAAAAGATCAATTTATTGTTTGCCTTGACTCAAATTGCATTCTAACTGATCGATAAGCAACACACATAATGACCGCTAAGACGCGTTTTTCTCCCTATTATAGTCTTTGTATTTTTCTGACCAAAATAAATGCCTTCTCTAATGTCTGTCAAGAAGAGTAAGGGGTGTAAAAACATTAATGACACAATGTTAATGTAAAATGATTGGAGTGATTAATTTGACTTACACTTCGGATTGCCCGCACTTTTGTATTGTACTCCAACAGAGAATCTGACATCAGAATACTCAGGCTTCAACACGAGTGCTGCATATGTTCCTTTCAGAAAACCACTAAGGATGACGTACCGTCCAGCTTGTGAACGAAAGATTTACTTGCAAATTTAGGACAGAGATGATTGTGAAACACACGTAGGCGTATGCAAATCTAATCTTAACTAGTTAATTTTTGCATTTACAAGCATATTTTAAGATGTGAACATGCATGAATTGCCTCAAAATTGTAACCACGTCTGTTTACTTAAGTTTAATCTAATTGTTTTCAAATATCTGGGACATAATCGCGCAAATATATAAGACTGGAAATTGTCTCATCATTATTTAAGGCTTGTCTTTGTCGTTATCACCTTACTTGCATACAGTACTGGTCGTTGAGCGACTGAATTCAAGGGTTCCAGTTTGAGCACCAAGGCACGATGGAACAAGTGCGTCCCGTAAAATCGATCGGTGAAGGACCTACCTAACATAATTAATACGGACGACAGGAAAGCGGGTCCCCGGCTAAATGGTAGAATGTCAAACTCCATGATTAAAGATCCCAGGTTCGAATATCAAGGGGCTGCCTTGGCTGTCGCGACTATCGCACTTTCGCCAGATCCAAGTTGAATTGCAGTTGCGTTTGTGTCCCCCACGGACCCGGCGTAATTGGGCTCCTTTCTTCTCGTAAGTCGCTGTCCCTGGTGGGAGAAGGCTGCACAAACTCTGCACACACGTTTACAATCCAGACTGCCGAAATCCTGGGCCGAGGAAAATATTGCCTGCTCAGGGAAACAATTGAAGTCTGGCACACCAACACGAACTACACCGACCGCTGTGTAGCAAATCGCGAAGCCCCCAGACACTCCGGACGCAGCTCAGAGGGCAGAGGAGCAAACGCGGGTTACGTGGAGAAGGGAGCCCAATTGCGGCCGGGTCCATGGGGGGACGGAAACGCAGCCGCAATTCAATTTCGATCTGGCGAATGTGCGATAGCCACCACATCCACGACACCTGGTTATCCGGCAGGTTAGAAAACGGACGGTCGCAGTAACAAAAACGGAACTAATAAAAGTGCGAGCGTCACTGGCAGGTAAAAATACATGATGTACTGAGGTCGTAAAGAAGATTGCCAGCCTAGTACGAGAAATAAGGTCAATGCCAACGCGTGCGATGACGACTAGCGCCCGAAATTGGTCCCCGACGAGAAGACCATCACCACAAATATATATACTGTGAGGCGTGATACAACACTCACCTCAGTCAGGTTAATACAACTCTGTCTCCCGAGATCGTCTCTTATTCTTATTTATGTCCGTGGACGCGTATTTTCGCTTATATCGGATATATTTATAGGCAGAATAGCACTATCGACAAAACTAACGGAGATTGGAATAATGCTTTATGACTTAAAACTGACGCCTGCAACCATTATCTAACCCGAGTTGTGCCACACCTTGGGCTCGATCTCAAAGCCTGTTGGTGTGAAGTCTAGTGCCTCTAAACGGCCTCGCTGTCCTGTCCGTTGCGGTCGGGTATATACCCGTAGTTCTTTTGCTCTGTCAGCTGCGACGGGCTATCCATAGTGGAAGAGGAACGCAGACCTATCGCCTTAGGGGAATCACACTCTCCATGCGTCTCCATTGTTATCAGTCCTCTCCTCCACAAATTTTGTAATATTAAGGAAATTTTACTACTAATGGCAAAGCGTTGGTAAGCATCTTTTTGGAAAACGGATTGCTTTTGCAGCTAACTATAAATTCTCTATCATGTGTGCAATATCTTGTTTTGACTAACTGGGCTGTTTGAAAAATGAAATGCCAAATGAATATCTTACGACGGATAATTTCCCAGCAGTCATTCGGCGCGACACAGTGCGACCCATCTGCAGCCTTGGAAATTCGCACGCCATCAACGGATATGTACTATGCGAAGGAAAGATTTTGTTATTTCAATCAAAGTGGAAAATCATCGCATCGGCCAACAGGCACCGATTACCTCAACGTCCCCGTAAAGAGTTTTCGTATAAACATAATCGCTGTTCTGTTTAAATTCCAAGGTGCTCTTCTCCTCTGTAAAAGAAACGGCAAAGTGCAACTCTAAGGATGCAAAATTTTCCCATTTAACATTGTATCGAATTATGAAAGAAAGTAAAACCCTAGGTTTTTGGTAATGCATTTGTAAAATAAATTTACCCTGTCCGGAGTCGCCATAAGCTAGTGTCAGGAAAAGAAATTGCGCAAACATTTCCAAACCAATACGTGCTCTCGTGTTCTTTATATACAACAAATAAGCCAATAGCTATGCGTAGGTCAATCCCACCCAAACCCACCCCCTTTGAAGTTCGAAAATGCGACCTTTTTATCGAAAACCCATGAGGTACGAGATCAGTAAAATCAATACATTCATTGGAATATTACATATGTTTTTTGTCTGAAAACTTTCTGCCTTTATTGACAAAAAGGCTTCCCGGAGACGTGCTTTACCTAACACGAGTTCGCTTTCTTTAACCGACTCAGTGGCGACACCGCGGGCAATGACATGCTCGTAATAAAATCAGCTGCGGATTACGAATTCGCGGTTGCGACTTGAGAGATTGCGAAGTGTGTAGATAAGTCGTTTGCCACCTGAAACCAGAGTATGCTCACGTAAAAATCCAAGTTGTCTTTTACAATTATGCTCGCTCCCTATAAACTTATGCGTAACTATGAGTCAGCACCTGCGTTAAAGCTTATCGTGAGATGTTGGTCTAGATCGTGATCTGAGATTAACGGTAATTACCTCGTTATCAAGATGGGCAAGATCTTCTATAATTCCGCTTTAACTAGATATGCATTTTTATGTGTTCTTTGGGTCGTGAATTGGGCGTGAACTCATTTGCAGTTGTAGTGGACTTTCATAGCACCTACCATATTCCCTCTACCCTCATTCGGCTGGGTCCGATATCAAGACGATGTGCAGAAGGCTAGAGCGGAGTTCGGGCACAGGGGCTGACGCGGCGTGAACTCCTCGCCAGGACGTGCCATCAAATTCCGTGTTGAATGCACAGGCGACCAGTCCGGATTCCAACTGAAAAGGGAATGTCATAAAGACCATAACCTGACATCGGAATCTGAGAGTTCCGACATGAGTGGAGGATCGAGTTACTGATCTTCCTCGTCTGTGAGTCGAATGCCAATTGGTGATACAAGGTATGCATAGGATTAAGAGTGATGTTATCAATGGAAACACAGGCTGTGGTAGCAGGAGCCAGCGATGTTCATTTGCTTGCTTTTCGGTTTGTTCTTGTACCGCTTGCTTAACGTGAAGTAGTCATAGATTTCGGCAAGATATGCACTTGATGATTACGCTTGTTACGGCTTTTCCAGTAGATATACTTAGCCACCACGTGAGGGATTTGGGTCGTCGAATAGTTTGAGAGGAGTGTTTATTTGACCCTCCAAATGCATACCGTCGACCATCATTAAAAGAAAGGTTTACATATCGCATAGCAACGAGGACAGACATAGATCCATTAAGTAAAGACTGCCAGGAGAGCAGTCACACTGCTTCCAACTGGCGATGAATTCATTACTAAGCAAAACGCATACGCTCTTTTTTGGGAGGCGGAAGACAGATTAGGTTGAAGTGTGACACTTCATCATGCCGACTCTTTCTAGAGACCTGTACATTTTAACCTCTGCGGTGTTCCATCACGACCCTAGCCTACTATAAAGAGTATAGTAAGAAGCAGTTCCCCCCCAGATACAGGTGGTTTTGCGACAAATGCCACAGAGATTTTTAATTCTGATATTTTGCCAAGAACCTAATGCCGGTCCTAATGTCCATAGAAGTTCTGGGATCGTCTGCATAAGAGGGCGTATCCTATTCCAGTTTCCGCCCGGTATGTTTATCAAAGTAATCACTCTTAGCTTATAACCGCCTCACAAAAAGTCGCCGGCCTGTCTGAGTAGCAGTGAACTTGAAAGATATCCGGCTGACACGATCCGTACTTCCTGCATACGGTTTCGTCCGCCAATGTGTACGCTTAAACTTGACCAGATTTCTTGAGCGGTAATTGTCGCCTCGAGGTAGAGGAGGGGTAATTCAGCTGGTTTGGTGTTGTCATGGGTCAGAATTTCTGAATCCTCTCGCATGCACACGGGCGAGTTGCTTCGATTTTGCAGACCTGAAGATTTTTACGTCTGTATATTTAGTAACACCTCGCGTAACCGTTTTAAGTCTACCACCGCAAATTTGCTGAAAATGTTGTATTGTTGGTGTATTGAAAATTGCATTCAGCCTAAAATGACAGCAGCTAATCAAGCAGAAGCTATATCGGTATCGTCCTTTAATGAATAAGACCGCTGTTATTAATTAGCACGCAGTTTTCTGTATTGCTTTCTGGTATGATGCGAGCGGTTATGCGCCAGTTTCCGGACTGATTTCTGATTCACGTATTCTTGTTCAAAACTAAATTCTAGTTCTGTTCCCCTTTAATTTTTGGCGCAACGGCGGTTTGCATGGCTCACATAGTTGCTTAAGCATATGATCATATGTTATGTTAAAGTTCGCATAATCCTAATGCGAGTGAGTAAGTACAAGAAAATTAGACACACGTCCACACGGCACGAGGTATTTTAATCTGCTGGAAATGGAACTCATTTCCTTGTGCGGTAATTGCCCAGCGAACTAATGAACAGTGAGTTCAGCTGGCTATTTGTATAACATATGGTAACATGTTAAAGTAACAATTAAGAAAATGCGAAACTACCCTTGTGTTGAATATCAAGGGAGAATTGAACTAGGATTAAGGCAGGGGTATAAACCTGAATAGGTAATCATCGCGCCGAAATAGTGCGGAGCTAGTTCGGCTGACGTGGGTGCTGCCGTGCAAATGTAATCTGTTAGCATTTGCAGTTTCTCTTAGTAACCTAAAGCGAAAAAATTGCCAGACATCCGCAAAATTTCTGAAATGTCGGCTATAGGACTTTTACGTATATCTGGCCTCTCAAGCCAGAAGGAATTTTCCAAAACTCTCGCAAAATTACCTGCAATTTTTTTGCTAGTCTCGAAAATATTGTCCGACCTCTAAAATGACACCAGCCAGTCAAGCACCAGGTATATTTGACTGCACCGCCTAAACTGCAGTCAGAAAAGACATTTTGCCCCTGGATAGGTAAAAATTCCCCGTGGGCTAGGGCACGATTTTTCCGCAAAAATCAAAAAGCGACTGTCTGCCAAGTTGGCGGCACTGAAATCACCGTGGTCCCTTGGCTTGGAATGTTTCAGGAAACTCATTAGCTTGCTGGTTTCAATTCCACCAGGCATCCTGTAGCAGACATTTCGGAAGTTTGCAGATTTTTGCCTGTGACACCAGCAGCCAGCGATGTCCATTTGCTTGCTTTTCGCTTTGTTCTTGTACCGCTTACTAAACGTGAAGTAGTCATAGATTTCCGCAAGATACGCACTTGATGACTACGCGTGTTACAGCTTTTCCAGCAGATATACTTAGCCACCGCGTGCAGGTTTTGGGTCGTCGAATAGTTCGAGAGAAGTGTTTATTTATGCATTTATTACTAAGCAAAGCACATATGTTGTTTTTTGAAAGGCAGAAGACAGATTAGGTTGAATGTGTGACACTCCATCATGTCGACTCTTTCTGGAGACCTGCACATAAAGAAGCGACCGTCTGCCTAGTTTGCTGCACTGGATTTACTGTGATTCCTTGGTCTGGAATGTTTCTCGAGGCTTATAAGTTTGCTGGTTGCAATTCCACCTGGCCTCTGAACGGCTCAGGGATTTACTTTTTAAATGAGGTAAATCAGAAATAAATTGAATCTGCTCACATGGCTTATTCTAGTTCTAGTCCCTCTTAATATTTAGCGCAAGGGGAGTTTCGCATGGCTCACATTGTTGCTTACACATATGATCAGATTTTGTGTAAAATTGGCATAATCCGAGTGCGAGCGGTTAAGTCCAATAAAATTAGACACACATTGACACAGCACGAGGTATTTGTACATGATGCACACATTTGTGACCACCAGGGGATTTGACAAAATTGGAACTGATTTCCATGTACGGTAACTGTCCTGCTGAAATAGTGAGGAGTGTGTTCAGCAGACGATTAACAGAAAATATGATCACATGTTTACGCAACAATATGCCCATGGGAAACTTCCCTTGCGTTATATATCAAGGGACATTTGAACTAGGATTAAGGTTTGGGGATGAATACGTGAATAGGTCATCATCTAGCCGAAGCAGTGCGTGGCTAGTTTGGCTAACAGAGGTGCTGTCGTCAAAATGTCGGCGATTAGCATTAGCGGTTCCTATTTCTTTCAAAACCCTAAAGCGAGAAAGTGGCCAAAAATCTGTAATCATCCCAAATGTCTGCTACAAGACTTTTACATATTTCTGGCTTCTCAATCTGAAAGAATTTTCCAACACGCAAAAAATTGCCTGTAAGTTTTCTTGATAGTGTCGCCAATTGTTGTCTGGCCTAAAATGACACCAGCCTATCAAGCACCAGGTATATTTGACTGCACCGCCTAAACTTCCGTGGGAAAAGTCATGTTGCCCTTAACTAGGTATAAATTCCCGGTGACCTAGGGCGCGACTATTCCGCCAAAATCAAAAAAGCGACTGTCTGCCAAGTTGGCGGCACTGGATTTACTGTGTTCCCTTGGCTAGGAATGTCTCAGGAAACTTATGAGTTTGGTGGTTACAATTCCACCAGGCCTTTGCACGCCTCAGGTATTTACATTTTAAAAAGAGAAAATCGGAAGTAAGTGGAATCTGCTCACATGGCCAATTTTGATGAATATACCGACTGACCATTTATCTTTTATTGATCCGCATGACAAAAGGCATACGCAAATGTAGTCTATAGTTCAACTATAAAGCGCACTGTGATTGGGCATTCGGTGAGTGAGAATCTCCTCATCCTTTGCCGACAGACCTAAACCGTCGACTAATGCACGGAAGAGGAAGGAAAGTGCTAAACGTCCTCGCTTGTATCTTCCACGTAATGCGTAGTGTTGTGGTATTGATGAGTTGTGTGTTGCGATATGAAGAGTCGCCAAGAACATAAAATCTCATTGACGAATAAAACGAGCTTCCATAAAGAACAAACCTACGAAGAAATTTGCTTTGAGCAATAAAAAAACTTTAATAATTTGCCTTATGTAAGGAATGCCTTAGTACCGCATCCCGTTGATGGATCCCAGTGTACATCTGCTTTTTAAAAAGTGAGGCTATTCTCC